ATTATTACAAAAATGTGTATTAGTCTGATCCGCTACCCCAAAATTGCCGGAAAAAAGAAAAAATCGAATTAAAAATTCTCAAGTTTTTCATCCGATATACAGACCTCCAAATGAAAATTTTTCTCACGAACCGTTAGTTGTAGGAAAATTCTGAGTATGGCAAAGAACGAGCGGTCAATTTTATGTAAGAAATGTCTACCCGCTTGACTCTAGGACGAAAAATTGACGCCAATATAGCCGAATAACGAAATTTTAAAAAACATCCAAGGGTACCCCCTTTGATGATTTTTTTTCCAAATTTTGTAAAAAAAAAAATTTTTTTTATTGTTTTGGTGCATGCATTGGGTCCAGATTATTACAAAAATGTGTATTAGTCTGATCCGCTACCCCAAAATTGCCGGAAAAAAGAAAAAATCGAATTAAAAATTCTCAAGTTTTTCATCCGATATACAGACCTCCAAATGAAAATTTTTCTCACGAACCGTTAGTTGTAGGAAAAATTCTGAGTATGGCAAAAGAACGAGCGGTCAATTTTATGTAAGAAATGTCTACCCGCTTGACTCTAGGACGAAAATTGACGCCAATATAGCCGAATAACGAAATTTTAAAAAAACATCCAAGGGTACCCCCTTTGATGATTTTTTCCAAATTTTTGTAAAAAAAAAAATTTTTTTTTATGTTTTGGTGCATGCATTGGGTCCAGATTATTACAAAAATGTGTATTAGTCTGATCCGCTACCCCAAAATTGCCGGAAAAAAAGAAAAAAATCGAATTAAAAATTCTCAAGTTTTTTCATCCGATATACAGACCTCCAAATGAAAATTTTTCTCACGAACCGTTAGTTGTAGGAAAAATTCTGGAGTATGGCAAAAGAACGAGCGGTCAATTTTATGTAAGAAAATGTCTACCTCGCTTGACTCTAGGACGAAAATTGACGCCAATATAGCCGAATAACGAAATTTTAAAAAAACATCCAAGGGTACCCCTTTGATGATTTTTTTCCAAATTTTTGTAAAAAAAAAAAATTTTTTTTTATGTTTTGGTGCATGCATTGGGTCCAGATTATTACAAAAATGTGTATTAGTCTGATCCGCTACCCCAAAATTGCCGGAAAAAAAGAAAAAATCGAATTAAAAATTCTCAAGTTTTTCATCCGATATACAGACCTCCAAATGAAAATTTTTCTCACGAACCGTTAGTTGTAGGAAAATTCTGAGTATGGCAAAAAGAACGAGCGGTCAATTTTATGTAAGAAATGTCTACCCGCTTGACTCTAGGACGAAAATTGACGCCAATATAGCCGAATAACGAAATTTTAAAAAAACATCCAAGGGTACCCCCCTTTGATGATTTTTTCCAAATTTTTGTAAAAAAAAAAATTTTTTTTTATGTTTTGGTGCATGCATTGGGTCCAGATTATTACAAAAATGTGTATTAGTCTGATCCGCTACCCCAAAATTGCCGGAAAAAAGAAAAAATCGAATTAAAAATTCTCAAGTTTTTCATCCGATATACAGACCTCCAAATGAAAATTTTTCTCACGAACCGTTAGTTGTAGGAAAATTCTGAGTATGGCAAAAGAACGAGCGGTCAATTTTATGTAAAGAAATGTCTACCCGCTTGACTCTAGGACGAAAATTGACGCCAATATAGCCGAATAACGAAATTTTAAAAAACATCCAAGGGTACCCCCCTTTGATGATTTTTTCCAAATTTTTGTAAAAAAAAAAAAATTTATTTTTATGTTTGTGTGCATGTATTGGGTCCAGATTATTACAAAAATGTGTATTAGTCTGATCCGCTACCCCAAAATTGCCGGAAAAAAGAAAAAATCGAATTAAAATTCTCAAGTTTTTCATCCGATATACAGACCTCCAAATGAAAATTTTTCTCACGAACCGTTAGTTGTAGAAAATTCTGAGTATGGCAAAAGAACGAGCGGTCAATTTTATGCAAGAAATGTCTACCCGCTTGACTCTAGGACGAAAATTGACGCCAATATAGCCGAATAACGAAATTTTAAAAAAAACATCCATTTGATGATTTTTTCCAAATTTTTGTAAAAAAAAAAATTTTTTTTTATGTTTTGGTGCATGCATTGGGTCCAGATTATTACAAAAATGTGTATTAGTCTGATCCGCTACCCCAAAATTGCCGGAAAAAGAAAAAAATCGAATTAAAAATTCTCAAGTTTTTCATCCGATATACAGACCTCCAAATGAAAATTTTTCTCACGAACCGTTAGTTGTAGGAAAATTCTGAGTATGGCAAAAGAACGAGCGGTCAATTATATGTAAGAAATGTCTACCCGCTTGACTCTAGGACGAAAATTGACGCCAATATAGCCGAATAACGAAATTTTAAAAAACATCCAAGGGTACCCCCTTTGATGATTTTTTTCCAAATTTTTGTAAAAAAAAAAATTTTTTTTTATGTTTTGGTGCATGCATTGGGTCCAGATTATTACAAAAATGTGTATTAGTCTGATCCGCTACCCCAAAATTGCCGGAAAAAAGAAAAAATCGAATTAAAAATTCTCAAGTTTTTCATCCGATATACAGACCTCCAAATGAAAATTTTTCTCACGAAACCGTTAGTTGTAGGAAAATTCTGAGTATGGCAAAAGAACGAGCGGTCAATTTTAATGAAAAAATGTCTACCCGCATTGACTCTAGGACGAAAATTGACGCCAATACAGCCGAATAAACGAAATTTTAAAAACATCCAAGGGTACCCCCTTTGATGATTTTTTCCAAATTTTTGTAAAAAAAAAAATTTTTTTTAATGTTTTGTTGCATGCATTGGGTCCAGATTAATTACAAAAATGTGTATTAGTCTGATCCGCTAACCCCAAAATTGCCGGAAAAAAAGAAAAAATCGAATTAAAAATTCGTCAAGTTTTTCATCCGATATACAGACCTCCAAATGAAAATTTTTCTCACGAACCGTTTAGTTGTAGGAAAATTCTGAGTATGACGGAAGAACGAGCGGTCAATTTTATGTAAGAAATGTCTACCCGCTTGACTCTAGGACAAAAATTAACGCCAATATAGCCGAATAACGAATTTTAAAAAGAATCGAAGGTTACCTCCCTTTGATGATTTTTTCCAAATTTTTATAATAATTTTTTTTTTATGTTTTGGTACATGCATTGGGTCCAGATTATTACAAAAATGTGTATTAGTCTGATCCGCTACCCCAAAATTGCCGGAAAAAAGAAAAAATCGAATTAAAAATTCTCAAGTTTTTCATCCGATATACAGACCCTCCAAATGAAAATTTTTTCTCACGAACCGTTAGTTGTAGGAAAATTCTGAGTATGGCAAAAGAACAAGCGGTCAATTTTATGTAAGAAATGTCTACCCGCTTGACTCTAGGACGAAAACTGACGCCAATATAGCCGAATAACGAAATTTTAAAAAACATCCAAGGGTACCCCCTTTAATGATTTTTTTCCAAATTTTTGTAAAAAAAAAAATATTTTTTTTTATGTTTTGTTGCATGTATTAGGTCCAGATTATTACAAAAATGTGTATTAGTCTGATCCGCTGCCCCAAAATTGCCGGAAAAAAAGAAAAAAATCGAATTAAAAATTCTCAAGTTTTTCATTCTCACGAACCGTTAGTTGTAGGAAAATTCTGAGTATGGCAAAATAACGAGCGGTCAATTTTATGTAAGAAATGTCTACCCACTTGACTCTCGGACGAAAATTGACACCAATATAGCCGACTAACGAAATTTGAAAAAAAAATCGAAGGGTACCTACCTTGATGATTTTGTCCAAATTTTTATAATATTTTTGTTTATGTTTTGGTACATGCATTCGGTCCAGATTATTACAAAAATGTGTAATTGACGTGTGCTTGACTCTAGGACGAAAATTGACGCCAATATATCCGAATAAACGAAATTTTAAAAAACATCCAAGGGTACCCTCTTTGATGATTTTTTTTCAAATTTTTGTAAAAAAAAAAATTTTTTTTATGTTTTGTTGCATGTATTGGGTCCAGATTATTACAAA